TGCACGTCCGATTCTTGCAGCTGTGGAAACTATGTGAATCACTAGCGTCAGCAGCATCAAATGATGATAACAAAAATTTTAACTCCTGCTCTGCAGTCCATATTTTCGAAGACTTATCCTTGCTTGGGTTTCTGTTTTTCTTATTCGGATCATTTTGTTGTTGCGCCTGGGGAACTTGTCCAGTACCAGAAGAACCACCCGGCACTGCATTCTGAACACTTTGACCTTCAACCTCGATCTCATTTGTACTGACAGGCGGTAAGTCTGAAGATCCTGAGTTTTGAACTGTGTGAACGGGGACAGATCTTATGACTTTATTTATCTACTTATTTTAAAGAATTCCATCCCTCTCTACCGTCTGTGAAACCATAAACTTCAGGGGCACGATGGCAAATTATTTATTTAATTGAATCGACTTGTTAAAAAGACGACCTGAACATCAGACAGCAAATTTATTATTCCATGTTATTTTGTATAACTAGTATTTAAAAAGCCTATTGTTATCAAAATGTTGATCGTATAACCAGACGTCTATTCGGTGGAAATGAAATTTCCCATCCAAAAAGGAAAACTAAATGGCCTTTGACTTCATTCAGCTCATTGTATACAAAGGTCGTCGTGACATCGTGTTGTGTGGTAGTTAGGGTTCAATTATTTCTTTGAAATGCAAATTTCTCACTCTATTAACCTCCATATCTGGAAACTAAATGTTGTTGAAAAGTTGAACTGTAAATAATAACTCACCTTTAGATTTCTTTGAGAAAAAATTTTCGAGGACGCCTTGCCTCTTCGCCATTCCGGCAAGCCCTTATTAAGGCGTGCTTTGTGATCATGTGCAATGTCACGCGCAATTCTTATGTAACAGCTGCACAGACTCTCGCGCAAGATACGCGACTGAAACTTATGTGTTATTTTTGTTCCACGCAACACCAGATTTCGTGGACAAATTTATTATTTTTCACACTTTATGATTCGTACAACAAGTTCCTGGTCGGTAAAATAACAGAGAGCGGTGGCAAATTGTAATTTAGCAGCACTGCCTAACACAGCAAGAGAGAGAGACTGAGCATGACGTTTGTTTTTTTTTTCCCCGCGAATGGCAAACTCCTCTTCTGCCGTCAACTGTTAAGCGTTTGTAAACGAAGTGAAAAAGAGTAGGTTTGTGTTTGTGGTGAATGTGTGATTTTTTCCTACATTACTGAAGCCAGTTTATTTAAGAATTCGATAGGAAAGTCACAACAGGAAAGGCATGCTTGCGTTCAGTGTTTGCCGGATATAAACCTCTCCAAGTAGGCGGCGGGTTGGAGTGAAGTACCCGGTGGACTATCGCCGGTAGCCGCCTTCTATTGAAACCCCTGCCTCAGGTATACAGTACCCAAGAGTGTATAGGAAAGATTAAAAATAACCCTCAGGTATACATTACCCAAGAGTGTATTGGAGAGATTGAAAGTAAACTTTAGGTATACACTACCCAAGAGGGCACGAAAAATTGAATTCACATTAATTTATATCACGAGACTGCTCCTTGTCTGGGCTCTTTCTTTCGACTGAAAGTTGAGGCATCCACCGTTAACTTATATAATCATTGTCCTTTACTAGTTCCCGAATGTCGTTGTTAAGCTCGGCTATTCTTGACGGACATCTTTGCAATTTCCCATTATTTTTCGACTGGAGGCATTTCCCGCCTGGAGTGTACGGTCGAGAGCGATTTGATTTACCGCATCAACAACGGGATTATATTTTGAGACCTCGCGAATCTATCTGCTAACTTTTCGTTAGCACATACCGGTACTTTTTGGGGTCGAGACTGGATCCCGTAACCAAAGAAAGCTACGCCGATCGATCGAAGACTTGCGCCTCCATGATGAGATCGTGCCAAGTGATTCCAAGGCAAGATTTATTTTGTTTTCGTAATTGAAATTCGAGCATAGATGAAGTATTAAATATTAGGTGAACCTTTAACTTATAATCAATAGGTTTCAGTAACCGCATAGACACCTACCGACCGCAATCGTTAATGTCATTCTCTACACTGATGACAGAAATATAGCGCCTCCGTAGGATGCATGCTGCGATTTTTTTTCGGGGCCAAAGCTCTACATGTCACTCCTTTGAGATTTTCCTAACCGAGATGCAATCAAATGTTTGTCATTTAGCCCTTGTATATTCATACACTCTGGCTAATTGCCGCACGAGTCAACAAACACATCGGGTTACGCTTGTTGTCCTCGAAATAATAATGGACTTTGAGCACTCCATTTAACATGTCCTTATTTATATATGTATCAGATAGGATAAGACTAATATATGTACTATAGTTGTATTATTCGTTTTAACTTACCAGCAAGGAAATCAGGATAACCGGTGAGTCTATTATGTCGAGAAGAATTGGGTAAAATTTCCGCACAGCCCCATACTACATAATCAGCAATTCATTATGCATTCAGTTCTTGAATAGAGAGAACAATGACAAAAACAATACATTTCCATTGGGAAAACAGATTTGTTTTACAACAGTATGGGGCTGTGCGGAAACTTTACCAAAAATTGCCACACAGTCTTCTCTTGGTGAAATAGCTGGCCGGTTCTGACAGGTTCTCCCGAGAACTATTTGTTGCATAATCAGCAATTCATTTGAGCTATCATAAATCCTATTCATTCCGCCATTCACGTCTTTTGTCATGTTTTGTCGCAATACAAATACTTGTTAATAAGTGTATATTGTCCCAACCGTAATATATGCAGAAATGCTACCAAATATATAAACTCGTGAGTTTAGTTCTACATAGGATTATTACTTTGATAAGTGTGTGTATGAATAAAAAACTTTTGCAGAACCGAGTAGTTAACACTATTAATACTTTAACAATACATGCGTAAGACCCAATGAGAAGGAAGAATTGCAGTCACAAGCATAGCTTAGTTCACGTGATAACAACTACGTGAAAGAATAAAACACGTGCACAGACAGCAAATGGTTACAGAAAGTGGTACAATCATCAGTAAAGAGAAAGTTTTTGCTTTTAGTTACTTTTAGACTTCTATGTAATTATGATTATGATTTAGGATGACCAAATTTGGTAAACCAAACAAACAAACTGCTTGTCACTCAGTCTGAGCCTAATATGTGTCTCCTAATCTTCTATAGGTTCCTTCAGCTCAGCTGCAGGATACGCATTTGACCGAGAATTATAAATGCAAAAAAAAATATCTTAAATTTTTTTAAACTACCAAGACGACTACTCCCCTCCTGTGAAAGTTAGACCTCGAGAATCTACACAGCCGACAACTGATTGCCTCTTCCCTCCCCAAGTTACTTATTAAATGAATTGATTCATTGAGTTACAAGAGTAAACGAACCTTAACGCTTCACTGTAAAACGGCCATAAACGTTGAGCATCCATCAGCCGTCTTTCAGAGATTTCCTTACTACTTTAAACCCAAGGAGTGACAAGAATCTTACATCTCACAAAAGTATCAGCCCTACATCAAACACTAAGGTTACGAGAATAGAGGAAATTATCACAAACTCAAGAAGCACGTGATTGCTCCTAATTCTCCTAGTAAGTACCATAGGAAATTCATAGAGAACGGAATGGAGAATTTGAAAACTGATGTGACGGTGTAAAGGGTCATTGAGCAGTAGGCGGTTTTTGCATCCGTTTAGGTTAAAGGTACATTTTTCCATGCATGGCCACAATTACGTCAAACAGCGACACACAAAAAAAGGGATGATGGCCCAATAAACATGTTCAACTACATCTTAGAATTCCTTTCAAGGCTACTGATCGGTGATAATAATTTTATTTAGTAATTGGTGCATTCCATTTATTACAGTTCTGTGAGGTTTAAAGCTGGTGCAAGTTCAATGGTCGTTAAATCATATCTTAACGCTGCACAAAAATTGCTTGTCTTTGGCCATTTTGTTAGAAAGCAAAAGAGGAAAAAAATTCGGTAACATGCAGAAATTAGCTTTCAAAAAATAATATGTAATTGAACTACTAAGCTCTCTACCGTGAAAAGCTGTCACCGAGATCTAAGCTTCAACGAGTATTTGAGGTTAATGATCCGAGTATTACTGGCGTCAATCGTAATCATCCCATGAAAGCAGCGACCATCACAATAATGATCGACAGTAAGACGCTTGAGTGATAACCGAGTGCTCCACTTGTCGAGGGATCTGAAACAATAACAGAGACATTATCAGAAGACGAGAAATAGAGTATGCCATGACCTGCGTTAACTCCTCGCTGACAAACATAGCGTGTTCCACGTCTTTTTATACTCACCACAGTCCTCGGTTGGAGTATAGGGTTTGAACGCTTCTGGATTTTTTTGCTTGAGATCGTCAAATTTTGTGGCAGGTTGGCTGACTTGATTCGCTGTAAAGAAATACCAAAAAATATAGATCATTCTCAAAAGGTATTTACTAATAATCTAGTGTCAATCGTACTGCTTATCTAAACCTTCAGCTAGAAGACGTCAACAAACTGACGTAAATTTTTCCCACTGGTTGCACGTAAAAACAATCCTTAAATCTTTAATCAACTGATCGTTTAAACTGCCGTTGACCAGCAGATCTGTAGTTAAATATCTTAGGTGGTTGTGTGAAAATTTCATAAAAGGTTCTTCAACAAATGCTACGTGGATTTGCATATTTTTAATCCTAGCATTATTCAAACATTCCCCTGCGAAATCGGAGCACCCAGGGATGCATACATCCCCGCCTCTTGGGAGGTGCCTCAAAGTGGTGCAGGGGTGAACTCAGGCTGAAGGTTTGGAGGTAATCCCAACGATTCCTGGGGCTAATGGGTGAACGTGACGCTGTTGAAGTCAACCACAACTGATCTGAAATCACCGCTTTCGAAAATTTCGACAGCGACTGTATATTTTCAAGTCTCAATGTGAAAACGAATAATACCTTTAAATATCTAGTGAAGGAGGTATGCCAGTGCGTCCTGCACAGTAATTACACCTGGCCTTGCTCGAGGTATAGATTTACGTTATACGCGATGTTTTTCAACAACAAGCGCTTACTTCGAGGTTGTTAAAGCTTTTTCATATCAGGAAAAGAAGAATTATGATGCTTCAATGCCAAAGCTACTTGCCAAAGCTGTTGATAAGTTTAAAAATTTTTCTAAAGCTAAACACAAAGCCGAAAGTTCAGTCAGCAAATAAACGAATCCGATTTATGAAGTTAGTCGGCAGCCGTGGAAACTTTTTGTCTCTGACACAAGATCAAATCCTTCGAGCCTATAAAGGCACATTATTGCCGAAACACATCTTGGGTTCCGCAACACAAAGCAACAAATAGCATTATGCTTTCAAATAAGAATACCCCTCTATAATTTAGACAATAACTGAGAAAAATGTTAAATACTTGTGAAAAACACTTCGTGGCTAATATGACGTGGGGTTTTGTCTTGGCCTAACGACTCAAAACAAAAACCTCTCCGAAATTATCAAGTAAACTCGTCTAGCAGTGCGCTCATTGTCCCGTTCACGAATCTAGTAATTGGTTAACTCAAGTTTATCTGATCAGTAGGACTGTTGTATGTCTAACTAAAACTGGGTTCCAATTAGGTCTCAATGGGGTGATGGCTTTTACTGCTAACGGTTAAAATTGTGATCATTTTACGGGTTTGGTTAACCTAGAGTGAAACGAAACCTTTTACGGTTAGCTTTTTTTACGTCTAACAGCTAAAATTTGTCAATTTTTACGCCTACCGGCTAAATTGTTAACGGTTAACCTCATTAAGACCCTTCCCTAAGGATTGAGCCAACGCGTTCCATTATAGGTCACAAGAGTGTGGTTCAGGTACCATTGCCGATTATTGCAAACTTGACTTTCATGCACCCGGAACGATTGGCTTTCTCTGTGCGAATCATGAAAAGGCGCCACTTTGGTATTCCCAAAGCTTTAGAGATGGTATCAGCAAAATGGAAGCTGTCATTTAAAGCAAAAAAATAAAAGAAAAAATTAATAACGAAAAAAGGAAACTGCCAACTATGGCTCGAGTCCTTATAATAGCATCAAAGCTCAGACCGACAGTTACTATTATGATACTGTAAATACTGTATACATAATACTTGTTCGTTTCACAAAGTTTATTTAAGTAGCGTTTTGACTACCAAAGCGGAACAGTGAGTGAGCATCGCGAACCTAAGAAACCTTATTAGTAACGAGGAGAAGTGCGAGCGAATCGTTGACATTGTCGTTGGTTTACAAGTTTCCTTGTACTGCGCGTGCACTTCTTTGCTGTTAAAAAAAAAACAGAAACAAATATCAAGATGAGAACAAATAAATTCAACTGATAGTGACTCTCCTTGTTCCTCAAACCGACAATGGAAAACGTTAAAGATTCCTTTCCCAGGTACATGTTTCTGGAAAAAAGAAAAAGGGTTGTCACATAGCTATTGCTACGTACAACAGGTCAGTTATTAGTTCCTCTGTAATAACCAACACATTCTTCGACCAAATATTTGAAGCCGTTTTTTGTCTTCCCCTCTTTAGAGAAAACAATAGAAAAATCCGGTATAAGTGAAACGTTTGTGTTACACTTGACTACCAGGTTCTGACAAAGCCAAGAAAACAAAAGAAACATAATAGCCTAGGGTTATTCAGAGTATCAAAACATGTTAGTCGTTTTATCTTCTCATGATGGACTTTTGATATAATACAAACTTCAGAAAGGTACAACTTTCTTTTTTTAAGACAACATGAATTCCTGGGTCCCTCATGTGGTGTTTCTTAGGCGCTTAGGGATTCAGATTTCCTTTGATTCCGTACTAGTGGTACTAAATTAGTAAACATTAACGTAAAGTGAATATATTTGGAAACCTCTCATTTCATTAGACTGCCCGGTGGGAAGTTATGGTCGTATACTTCTGAATATAGCAAGTGTCTGCTCTACAAATCAAACCAAATTTGCTAAGAGTATTACAGTTTTTATTGAATAATAGGATTCCTAACTATTTTATTCGCACGTGTATCTACCTAGAGCGTTGTTTCGTTTGAGCTTCAATTGTTACAAATTTAACTCAGAAACAGAATCATTGCCCAACTATGATATTACTTAAGCAGTGGAGGACTTATTCTTTATGGATGCAGCCCCATATAAACACAAGGGCGGTGAGGAGAATTCGAGATAGTTTCACCGTAGAAACGCGGAAACTCGAAACACTTTTACTGTATCAAGTGAGTCTCAAAATAACGTGCAAATTTACCCTTTCCCTTATTCAAACATACTTAACATAACTCTAAGATCATACCAATTATCTCACTTATGTTATTTATCTATGTCAATATTCTAACGAGGCTCTAAGTTTGTTTTCTCAGCTGCCTGTTCTCAGTGTGGTGAGTTAAGCATCGCACACTTTCCAGATACTTTACCCTATAGCTGAAACACATAACCTTTACGCCCTAACATCAGTATCCATGTTCTCTGTACTCTTCTCTGGACATTTCTTCTAGTATTGACGAGGAGAATTCGTTTAACAATCAAAGCTCCTCAGATTAATTAACAATATTTTCCCTATATTCTCATCATCTGAATGATAAAGCAGTATTACTGTAAAAAGAAATTAGATGCTAGTCACTCTTAGGGTTTAAAGGGTTAATGGAGAATTAAAAACTGCAAAATGGGGCACAATTTTAAAATGGATTTTAGAATTGAGCCATAAAGGGAAAATCAACACATGTCAATATCTAGCAAACCGAGACCTGGTACAAAGGAACAAAACTTCAAAGATGGAGGGGAAGGGGGTCGAAAGTAGTTAACAGCCGAGAGTGAATTGAGAGGAATTAGGAAGCTGGGGGCTACCCTAGCTTCGCTTTCCTTGAGTTCAAACGCCATATTGTCGCGTGAATATTTGAATCTAACATAGAACAACTGAGATGTAAAGGACCTCGCTGACACATCTTAATGACTGGGCTTGTATTTTTAAAGATGGATTATGGGGAAGACTTTGTTTCTTCCTCCTAATGGATGCTAAGACAATTTATAAAAGTCGAAAAAGAAAAATTATAAAATGCAGTTTCCATCATGGTGGAAAAAATACTTTTCATGCAAGTAAGGCTTGATTTAGTAGTAACTCTCCCAATTCTTCTTTCTCTTTGCTTGGCTCAACTGGAAGCTGCTCTTTGCCTGTCAGCTCTGGGAGGTTGTTGTTGACAGAATCCATAGTTTCTAGAGTCGCCGTGCCCTTTGTTTCTGGCAGCAAGAAGCACAGACCCGCGCAGACAAAAGCAAGCACTGCCACGATGGAGTATGGCAAGAGAATGTGAATACGCATCTATTGAGAGAATAAAAACGAAGTTGGCGGATTTTACGTTTAAGCTCGATGCGAGAAGTTTTCCTTGACACAGGAATTGGTACATATCTCTGCTTAACGATGAGCGCAAGCTAGCGAAAATCGCAGCGATCACTACCACATAGGAGTGCGGCAAGGTGATCTGGACATACCGCTGTTTTCCGTAATCAAAGTGAATTTGTCACTGAGTTTTACCAAGGGAGAACTTGTCGAGGGGACCGTGTGGTAGGATTTTTTGCATACTGGAAAAATCTCACAAAAATGTGTAAAGGTCCTTTATTTCCTATCGAAGATATTTTTGCCATTAACAATAAAATTGATTTGAATCAAGTTACATACCAGCCAAACAACATAAGGCGCCGACATGGATCCAATACGAGCTGCTGCAGACGAGGTTCCCATTCCAACATTCCTAAGGCATAAGGAGAATTGGACGAGAAGTTAAGTAATGCGTACCATACCCAAGCCACTTTTCTTTAGACGGTCTTTTAAGAGAATTGTAAGAGGCACAAAATTATTCCTTCCCGAAGAAGTTGGGCTAATCATCCAACCAGTCAGTCAGTAGGCCAGTAAATAAGTCAGGAAATAGGTCATTTTAGTGAGTCAGGGCGATTTAAGTAGTCAGACATGACCGGTCAGTCATAATAAATTTCTGTCATTCATTCACCTGTCACTCCGTCAGTCCAAGTCCGTCAGTCCGTCAGTCGTCAATCCGTCCATCGGTCTGTCAGTCCACCGGTTGCGTTCGTTGGTTCATCAGTCCGTCGGTTCGTCAATCGTCATTCAGTCAGTCAGTCATTTAGCCAATAAAATTTGTCTATTTTTCAGCAAGTAAGTCGCTGAAATAGTCAATCATCATGAAAGTCGTGCAGTGAATCAGTCAGTGAGATAGTCAGTCAGTCAATCAGTCAATCAGTCAGTAAGATAGTCAGTCAGTAAGATAGTCAGTCAGTAAGATAGTCAGTCAGTAAGATAGTCAGTCAGTAAGACAGTCAGTCAGTAAGATAGTCAGTCAGTAAGATAGTCAGTCAGTAAGATAGTCAGTCAGTAAGACAGTCTTTCAGGCAGACAGTCATTTAGTAAGAGAGCGAGTAATTGAGTAAGACCGTACTTGAGTCAGTCGGTTAGTCGGTCAGTAAGACGGTGAGTCAGTCAGTAACACAGTCATTCAGTCAGTTGGTCATTAATGACCAATAGGTCAGTCTGTAATTCAGCCAGTCTGTAAGCAAGCTGGTCAGCGAGTCAGTCAGACAGACAGTCCATTAGTCGCTTATTGATTCACTTGTTGTCAATCATGAAAAAAGACACGAAAGAGATGAAAGAGTTGAGTTGGTGGGCAGGAAGGTGGAAGATCCATATTCAAATTGCTGAGAATGAAGCAGTGCGTGTGGTTACGTTTATTTCTTGCCTTAGGAAAATGGCATAATGCAGGAAAGTTTGAAATAAAAAAAATACCTGACAACGGTCGGGAAGAGCTCGCTTGAGTAGACATAGATTGAACTGAACGACATGTTGATAAAAAACTTCGCCACTCCTTGTGCCATAATTATGTTTGCCACCATGAAACCTGAAAAACAGAGCAATGATATTAAAAAAAGTATTTTGCAGCCGACATCCTAAATAATTCAGGATGGTACTTGCTTTAACTTGGTAATGTAATGATCATTAGTTCTCCTATTTCGGATTAGTTTGTTTAAAGCTAACCATTATCATGTCGATACATTAACCAGTGATTCTTTGTCTAAGCACTGATGGCTGAATCTAGTTGCAATCAATTTTTCGTTTCCCTTAACGTAATTGTAACTTTTGTGACCCCAAGAACAGAACCGGCGCTACAATAACTGACAATGACGTAAAGAGAGGTTTACCGGTGTTCTTCAGATCTCTCTGGAAAAAGACTGCAATCAAAGAAGCAAAGAAAGACACCACCACTCCAATAACTGTGCTTTTCTTCCGGCCAATCCTGTAACAAATGTTCGTTTAGAGGAATCATACTCACGGCTTGAATTGCCCAAAACTCCGAACGAAAAAACGTAAAGAGAAAAATGACTCCTCACAAGTTTTAGATATTCCTTGTTTACGTTTTGTTGATTCAAAGAAAAAAAAAAGGTCGACCGTACTGCTAGGTTCGGAACGAGTCGCAACCCGAATCGAACCTTCCTCGGAGCATGGGACTTTTCCCTCTCCAGCTATTGTCGCCACTTTGCAAAAACTGAAAAAAAAAGTTTATTCTATCGTCAGGCATGGGTTGACTTTGGTTGAGAACCAAATGATAAAAAATTATTGGATGACTTTGAGTACGATATCATGAATTATCACTGTGGAGATTTGAGTTATCTGTCAAAGCCGAATGCTATAGCAGATAACTCAGACACGTGGTTTGATAATTCATGATATCATGTAAAAACAAAATTCGATAAATGTTGTATTATACACTTATTTGAGCAATTTGCACACAGATAGACTTTTCTCTGAGTTTGCAAAAGTTTGAGAACACTACACGGACGAGAGGCTTGGAAACTAGGCAGACTCTGAACACGACATGATAAGCATTATGGGTTGCCATGTCAATTTCACACGCTACCACATGTTCTCGACCAATCAGAGTTTTCATAGTAAGTCTAATGTAAGATAATGATACTTATTTCACATTTACCCATGTTCTGAGAGGACACGAATTCCTGTCTGAGTAGTCTTGTATGCTTGAAAGATAATCAGTCAACGTAATAAGGTAGATAAAAACCTCCCTTCTCTACCCCCCTCCTACCTGTGATTCAGTTTAATGCAAGTCCAGTTGGACGGAATTTCAATGAGACTAGTCAAGAAGAAAACCAGGTAACGATTGCCACCATAATCTCCTGCACTGAATGAAACAGCGTAGTAAACCAACGCTATGACCATCCTATGGAAATAATGTGAATCAGTTTTAGCTGGCGCAGATTGAGCATCAACATGTGACAAAATGTTAATTGCAATAGTTTTAGGCAGTCTCGACGAGGAAATTTCTGTGAGAAGCAATGTTCCGACATTTGACGTCCTACAGACTCACCAGGCAAACCATAATATCAGAGTTCTTTTTGTCATAGCCATTGAGCTGAAAAGGTCCCGGACATCTCCCTGTCTCTGGGTTAACTTGGCATCTGGCTGTTCTAGGTCACCTTCAGGCATCTGTTTTCGATTAAAGTCAGCAACTTTTTGAAGATTTTCCCTGGCCTCTTTGGGTCTGTTATGCGCCAAGAGCCAGCGAGGTGACTCTGGCAGAAACCTAAGGTTAACAGTTGTGCGTAACAGAAGTTAGAGAACTAAGCAGGATCAACCACAAGATATTTCTTTTCTATAGAATCTTGTATTGAAATAAGTTGAGTTATTATCTATTTTCTTCATATTTTTTTTCATAAATGTGCCTATGCCATGAAGATGTTCATGACACATTTATCCATTCCGACCAGTGAAGGATCCACGGCGAGGGTCTAAGGGGTTATCGGAAATGAGGGTATTTTACTACCTGGCTAAAACCAAACTTCTCCCAACGACAGGATCGCATATTATTACTTAGCTTGAAGTATTTACCTATCTTGAAGTATTTCGTAGCTTATTTGGGCTCTATTGAAAAAAAAAAATTGTAATAATAAATTTGTTTTCTTAATCAAAGTGCGAACCTCCCGTCAGAAATCTCTGGATCCGCGCTTTCAATTCCCGGAAGTGGTTCCCATGCTACTCCTCCCGACTTGATTACGTCATCCAGCGAATAAGCAACGAGAATTGAAACAGTCTCAATCGTTAAAGGGTCTTATTAAAGCTGTACAGGTATCCCCATGTTATTATCTTAACTGATGCATGAGAAGGTAAATAGCAGCTACATAGGAAATTGCGATTTTAAACAGTCATGAAGGTTTTACCGCAAGCTCTGCATCATAGACAGCGAGGTTAGTCCCTATTAGGTTCGGTCGATATCATGATACAATGTACTTGCTTACCACCAGAAGAAAATCGTTAATAGTCCTGGTATAGCCGCGGCCATAGCAAGTGTGCGCCAGTCCCTTATCAGCCAAGCAAATAAAGCCAGAACCATTAGCGACAGAATCCAGAAGTAAAATAAAGTGGTTCCGATCACGTGACGATGACGCTTGCCAACGTACTCAAACACGAGCACATACACTGCCAGAGCTGAACTACCTGTTGAGAATAATATCCAAAGCTCCGTTGTTATAATCTTCATTTGGTTTTTTTCTTTTTCTTGTATTATTTCGTCTGAAAGCGGTATGAATGCCAATGGGAAATCAGTTTATGATAAAAAAGATCCTCGGCATTTTATCAATGATTCTAAATCTGTTACCTTTCTTTTCCAAATTCACAGATAGAAAGTTTTTCAGTTGTTATGTAATTATTAAACATCCTTCCGCGGGTTCCCGCGTGATTATATTTAGATTGATAACTGGCCGTCTTCGTTCAAAAATGCGAGAAAAGTTCAGAAATACAGAGGCGGTCGTTTTATTTCCTTTGGGTTAATTAAGGCCAAGTTATTTATCTGATGGGTTATAAGTCGTATCGTTTACCTCCTTTTACCTTGGAAATACGGCGAATAATCACTTACCTACGCCTATACCAATCAGCACTCTGCAGAGCACATAGAGCCAGTAGATTTTAATGAAAGCAGCAGCTAAGGCGAACACGTTCGTTAGGATTGTAAGCCAATAAACAATGGGTTTGCGTCCGAATTTGTCTGATAAAACGCCTCCAAAGAGAACTCCGATCATATAACCCAAGAACATAAGTGCTTTGGTCAGGACCGATAATGCTGATACGTTACAAACTAGGTCCCACTGAGAGAAAATCGAAATGATTTAAATGATTTAGTGTATGAGCTCATTTGTCTTTTTTCGCATGTAATGAAAATGAGTGAAGTGTTAATTCCTTCTAAAAACTAATAACTTATCAGTGGAATCAGTCGTCACCAACGTAGTAGAAAGGGGCCGAGAAGTTTAGAAACTTGACTGCCAATTAACTGCCAATAAGGGGGGGGGGGGCAATAAGAACAACACAGAATCTTAGAGATGGATCAGGGAAACAGAACCAAAATCCTCTGCGCGAGCGCGGGAAAACCGTGGGGAGTGACGCTGAATTCAAACTGAGTTTATTGTTCGTACCTCAGCCACGGTGGAGGTAAAATCGCTAGTGTCAAATTCCCAATCATCCCGAGGAATGGAACAACGGTAGCTGTAATTTTCGTCTCCTGGCTTGAAAATTCCGGTCAGATTACACGCAGAACTGTTTGCTTTACAACGCCATGGCGGTTCAACGCTGAGAAAGGTTGGAAGCATCATCTGGAGACCATCAGACCAGGTCTTGATGAAACCGCAGATCAGCAAAAGTCTGTACTGAAATCGGTTGTAACTGCCTATCTTTTCCATGACATCATCAACAGTGATACCCATGATTTCTTCCTGTAAGGAGCCCTTTGTTGAGAAAAAAATCAAAACTCACGAGCGCAAAGCACTTAAGAGCTAATGTCAGCATGCGTCAAACAAACAGCGGGAAGTCACCCAAATTTGTTTTCACTCCTACTTTCATATTTTGTAGCCCAATATGTTCTAATAACTGTGGAGTAGTTTTTTTTGTAAAAATTTATTTTAGTTTTCGAAAAATAATTTTTTTTGTTCAACCGCTCAAATATGCAAATTTTCACCGTGGATATTACCCGAGTTGTGTGACCTCATGTAACGAATGTACTAGACCTACAGTATTTCTGTGAACATGATCCTTTGTTTTATCATCTAAACTTAAACCCCTGTCGTTATTGAAGCTGGCAGAGAAATATTTATTTTTTGGTGAATATTTTTGTCCGACATATTTTTCCTATGTCGAAAAGTAGCATCAAAACAAAGACAGTTTTAACAATGACCGATATGACAAAATCTACTGAGCTTCAAGCTTTTATAAGACAAAAGGATGGTTATAAAGTTACTGTAAAAATTTCCTTGTGTATTTGTGTTGTTCTATCTTGAGACGAACTCAAAGTCCGGCAAAATTTACTTGATAGCGACCGGAGCATATTCCAACCTATTCAGACAAAGAAAGTCGTAGTGAATTGTCTTTTGTTTCTACATTGATTGAGGGTAACCTACAGACTGTCAATGCGGCAAGAGATAATCAGGTAAAAATTTGCAAGTTTTTCGAAATTAATCATAAGGCTAAATTTTCAAGTCACCAAAAGCATATGTGGAATAAGTCATATTTAGACCTGTGTTTAGGATAATAAGTGACGTAATGATCTCTTTGGCTGACTACATCAAGGTGTTCGCTGAACATTCCAGGACATCCGATAATCGCTCTAAAAAAGTTAATAAAGCTCCCCTCGAATAAAATGGAAACAACCGTAACTTCCGATGATTATATTTCTAATCATTTTCAAGATACAACTCTACTTTGTTCGCTCATTTTCCAGAAACAAGAGTCCAGAGAAACGCCTCTACGGGTCTAATTCGAAAAAACCTAAGGGGCGGTACGCTAAGTTTATTTTCTCTGTAGAGAAAATAGATGTCTTAAAGAAGACAACAGTAAATCGTTAACACAAGGTCCACAAGTAGTCCTGACCAAATGTTACATAAACATAAAACAGGAAGACTTTAGAACACGTAAAAATAAGAAACTCGAAAATATTCTACAAAGCGGTACCGGTAAAGCTGCTTTCACCTCCATGATCGAAGACCTAGGACAATTTAAGGCTAACTCCGACAAACCCTTCTTTACACAGGTCATGGTTTTGAACTCTTAAAGTCCAGAAACTGTGTTGATTACATCATCTAGAGAATACACATCGCTTTCAACAGAGGGTCTCCCCGTTCGGTCTATAAGCTTCAGCGCAATGCAACTATTCTTACAATGACCTTTTATGTGCGAAGGTTTTGGAACGGCATTTTTAGCTTTACCGAAGACATCACTCTGGCCAAAATCGACTATAACAGGGGAGAAGCTGGTCTGAAACACCATTATCGCACTTTAGGTCATTGTGAACAAATTCACATGTATAAATATCGTCTTACGCGTCTGCCGTGTATGGAGGGTAAAGAAGACGTTAAAATTAACACTCGGGTATACACTACCCAGAAGGGTATATATAAGAGATTAAAAATAACCCTCAGGTATACACTACTCAAGAGGGTATTGGAGAGATTAAAAGTAACTCTCAGGTATACACTAACCACGAAGGTATAAGAGAGATTAAAAATAACCCTTAGGTAAACGCTACCCAAGAGGGTATAGAAGAGATTAAAAATGACCCTCAGGTATACACTACCCAAGAGGGTATGCAAGAGATTAAAAATAACCCTCAGGTGTACACTACCCAAGAGGGTATGCAGGAGATTAAAAATAACCCTCAAGTATACACTACCCAAGAGGGTATAGAACAGATTAAAAATAACCCACAGGTATACTCTGCCCAAGAGAGTATAGAACAGATTAAAACTAACCCTCAGGTAAACACTAACCAGGAAGGTATAAGAGAGATTAAAAATAACCCTCAGATATGCACTACCCAAGAACATATGGGAGAGATTAAAAATAACCCTCAGGTATACACTACCCAAGAGGGTATGCAGGAGAATAAAAATAATCCTCAGGTATACACTACCCAAGAGGGTATAGAAAAGATTAAAAACAACCCTCAGGTATACACTACCTAGGGGGTGGCGGACATGGACAAATAAGTACCAAGAGAGTATGCAAGAGATTAAAAAAAAACCCTTAGGTAAACACTACCCAAGAGGGTATAGAAAAGACTAAAAACATCCCTCAGGTAAACACTGCCCAAAAGGGTATAGAAAAGATTAAAAACAACCCTCAGGTATACACTACCCAAGATGGTATAAAAGAGATTAAAAATATCCATCAGGTATACACTACCCAAGAGGGTATGTAGGAGATTAAAAACAACCCTCAGGTATACACTACCCAGGAGGGTACAGAACAGATTAAAAATAACTCTCAGGTATGTACTTCCCAAGAGGGTATAGAACAGATTAAAAACAAAAACAACCCTTAGGTCAGATATACACTACCCAAAGAGAGAGTATCAGGTATACACTACCCAAGAGATTAAAAACCCTTAGTATACACTACCCAAGAGGGTACTACAAATCCTCAGGTATACACTACCCAAGAGGGTATAGAAAAGATTAAAAACAAAATACACTACCTCAGTACCAAGAGAGTATACTACTACCCAAAAGAGGGTATAGAACAGATTAAAAATAACCCTAAGGTATTCACTACCCAAGAGGGTATAGAACAGATTAAAAATAACCCTCAGGAATATACTTCCCAAGAGGGTATAGAACAGATTAAAAATAACCCTCAGATATACACTACCCAAGAGGGTATAGGAGAGATTAAAATACCCTCAGGTATACACTACCCAAGAGGGTATAGGAGGGATTAAAAGTAACCCTTAGGTATACACTACCCAAGAAGGTATAGAACAAATTAAAAATAACCCTCAGGTATACACTACCCAAGAGGGTATAGAACAGATTCAAAACAACCCTCAGGTATACACCACCTAAGAGGGTATAGACCACTCGGTTGGTGTTTTACATTTGCAAGGTGTCTTGGCTACGTTTGGTCGTGCTTTCTCTGGAGGGAGCTGGCTTTGTAGGCCTAAAAGATTGTACTTGAGCTTTGCCCACTCACATAAGAGCTCTTCTTTCTTTGAATCCTTATCCTCCTCATCTTGATAGAAGAAGTCTCCTAGAAATTCAAAATCTGCCACGCCATACCGCTTAAAGCCAGCTTCGCCTTTCTTGGGAACAGCAGTTGGGTCAAAGACCTTGAAGGCGGTGAGGACCTTAATGTTTCCATCAAATCGATTCTAAATGTTGTCTTTTAAGGCATCTACATATTTTGTTGTTAAACTGTTAGTATATATTTATTAAAGCCTTGTTTTCAGCTCGCAATCTTGCGCCAACATCATTTCTTTCCCCTGTCATAACTGAAGCTCCATCTGAGGAAAAACTTGAAAGCTTCTTTTTATCGATCCCAGCATCCTCTGTTGTGCAACAATAGCATTTGTTATTGCTTCAGTATCAGCTGAGCTTGAATTCCCCAACAGATTGCTTGCTGCTGGCAAAGCAGTATTTGCTTTGCCAGTTTCAGGATGGACGAATTTAACAAATGTGACAAGGTGCTCTTTGTTAGACACATCAAAAAATTCATCTGCTAAAAGTCCAAAGCATTTGGCTTTTAATATATCATGTACCAACTGTGCTTTCAAAACGCTACCAATGTGAAGAAACATCTCTCTGACTGAACCAGCTGAACGGTGTTTGAAATACTTGATATCTTCAAGACCCACTTGCTGAAGAAGTTCCAGAAGACTCGTGAACTTCTTTTTGGAGATTTCCTCTTTCGCAATCCGTTACATAGTAAGCAACGTTTTGTAGTAAACTTCATCTTTAGCATCTTCAATTTTACTCACTTCTTCTTCAAAAGTTGACACTCTGCTGAGAAGCTCTGCTGTGATGGCTGCTGCGTGTTGTTGTGAATTGGCATGATCTTCGACCGCTTTCCGTTTAAATCTAACTGCTGGCTCGAGGTTATACTTCTTGGTCTTGTTTTGGTTATTTGATGTGCCATGTTTTCTGCAGAACAAACAAAACATTCCCTGTCCATCAACCAGTTCACACCTGTATTACTGGAGTAGGTTAGATCGTCGTCCATTATCCATTGATGTTGAAAACGATCAATGGATTGTTCATTCAGCCGGGTGACCTCCATGGAACTCAGGGTCTTGCACGTCCGATTCTTGCAGCTGTGGAAACTATGTGAATCACTAGCGTCAGCAGCATCAAATGATGATAACAAAAATTTTAACTCCTGCTCTGCAGTCCATATTTTCGAAGACTTATCCTTGCTTGGGTTTCTGTTTTTCTTATTCGGATCATTTTGTTGTTGCGCCTGGGGAACTTGTCCAGTACCAGAAGAACCACCCGGCACTGCATTCTGAACACTTTGACCTTCAACCTCGATCTCATTTGTACTGACAGGCGGTAAGTCTGAAGATCCTGAGTTTTGAACTGTGTGAACGGGGACAGATCTTATGACTTTATTTATCTACTTATTTTAAAGAATTCCATCCCTCTCTACCGTCTGTGAAACCATAAACTTCAGGGGCACGATGGCAAATTATTTATTTAATTGAATCGACTTGTTAAAAAGACGACCTGAACATCAGACAGCAAATTTATTATTCCATGTTATTTTGTATAACTAGTATTTAAAAAGCCTATTGTTATCAAAATGTTGATCGTATAACCAGACGTCTATTCGGTGGAAATGAAATTTCCCATCCAAAAAGGAAAACTAAATGGCCTTTGACTTCATTCAGCTCATTGTATACAAAGGTCGTCGTGACATCGTGTTGTGTGGTCGTTAGGGTTCAATTATTTCTTTGAAATGCAAATTTCTCACTCTATTAACCTCCATATCTGGAAACTAAATGTTGTTGAAAAGTTGAACTGTAAATAATAACTCACCTTTAGATTTCTTTGAGAAAAAATTTTCGAGGACGCCTTGCCTCTTCGCCATTCCGGCAAGCCCTTATTAAGGCGTGCTTTGTGATCATGTGCAATGTCACGCGCAATTCTTATGTAACAGCTGCACAGACTCCCGCGCAAGATACGCGACTGAAACTTATGTGTTATTTTTGTTCCACGCAACACCAGATTTCGTGGACAAATTTATTATTTTTCACACTTTATGATTCGTACAACAAGTTCCTGGTCGGTAAAATAACAGAGAGCGGTGGCAAATTGTAATTTAGCAGCACTGCCTAACACAGCAAGAGAGAGAGACTGAGCATGACGTTTGTTTTTTTTTTCCCCGCGAATGGCAAACTCCTCTTCTGCCGTCAACTGTTAAGCGTTTGTAAACGAAGTGAAAAAGAGTAGGTTTGTGTTTGTGGTGAATGTGTGATTTTTTCCTACATTACTGAAGCCAGTTTATTTAAGAATTCGATAGGAAAGTCACAACAGGAAAGGCATGCTTGCGTTCAGTGTTTGCCGGATATAAACCTCTCCAAGTAGGCGGCGGGTTGGAGTGAAGTACCCGGTGGACTATCGCCGGTAGCCGCCTTCTATTGAAACCCCTGCCTCAGGTATACAGTACCCAAGAGTGTATAGGAAAGATTAAAAATAACCCTCAGGTATACATTACCCAAGAGTGTATTGGAGAGATTGAAAGTAAACTTTAGGTATACACTACCCAAGAGGGCACGAAAAATTGAATTCACATTAATTTATATCACGAGACTGCTCCTTGTCTGGGCTCTTTCTTTCGACTGAAAGTTGAGGCATCCACCGTTAACTTATATAATCATTGTCCTTTACTAGTTCCCGAATGTCGTTGTTAAGCTCGGCTATTCTTGACGGACATCTTTGCAATTTCCCATTATTTTTCGACTGGAGGCATTTCCCGCCTGGAGTGTACGGTCGAGAGCGATTTGATTTACCGCATCAACAACGGGATTATATTTTGAGACCTCGCGAATCTATCTGCTAACTTTTCGTTAGCACATACCGGTACTTTTTGGGGTCGAGACTGGATCCCGTAACCAAAGAAAGCTACGCCGATCGATCGAAGACTTGCGCCTCCATGATGAGATCGTGCCAAGTGATTCCAAGGCAAGATTTATTTTGTTTTCGTAATTGAAATTCGAGCATAGATGAAGTATTAAATATTAGGTGAACCTTTAACTTATAATCAATAGGTTTCAGTAACCGCATAGACACCTACCGACCGCAATCGTTAATGTCATTCTCTACACTGATGACAGAAATATAGCGCCTCCGTAGGATGCATGCTGCGATTTTTTTTCGGGGCCAAAGCTCTACATGTCACTCCTTTGAGATTTTCCTAACCGAGATGCAATCAAATGTTTGTCATTTAGCCCTTGTATATTCATACACTCTGGCTAATTGCCGCACGAGTCAACAAACACATCGGGTTACGCTTGTTGTCCTCGAAATAATAATGGACTTTGAGCACTCCATTTAACATGTCCTTATTTATATATGTATCAGATAGGATAAGACTAATATATGTACTATAGTTGTATTATTCGTTTTAACTTACCAGCAAGGAAATCAGGATAACCGGTGAGTCTATTATGTCGAGAAGAATTGGGTAAAATTTCCGCACAGCCCCATACTACATAATCAGCAATTCATTATGCATTCAGTTCTTGAATAGAGAGAACAATGACAAAAACAATACATTTCCATTGGGAAAACAGATTTGTTTTACAACAGTATGGGGCTGTGCGGAAACTTTACCAAAAATTGCCACACAGTCTTCTCTTGGTGAAATAGCTGGCCGGTTCTGACAGGTTCTCCCGAGAACTATTTGTTGCATAATCAGCAATTCATTTGAGCTATCATAAATCCTATTCATTCCGCCATTCACGTCTTTTGTCATGTTTTGTCGCAATACAAATACTTGTTAATAAGTGTATATTGTCCCAACCGTAATATATGCAGAAATGCTACCAAATATATAAACTCGTGAGTTTAGTTCTACATAGGATTATTACTTTGATAAGTGTGTGTATGAATAAAAAACTTTTGCAGAACCGAGTAGTTAACACTATTAATACTTTAACAATACATGCGTAAGACCCAATGAGAAGGAAGAATTGCAGTCACAAGCATAGCTTAGTTCACGTGATAACAACTACGTGAAAGAATAAAACACGTGCACAGACAGCAAATGGTTACAGAAAGAGGTACAATCATCAATAAAGAGAAAGTTTTTGCTTTTAGTTACTTTTAGACTTCTATGTAATTATGATTATGATTTAGGATGACCAAATTTGGTAAACCAGTATGACTGCTTGTCACTCAGTCTGAGCCTAATATGTGTCTCCTAATCTTCTATAGGTTCCTTCAGCTCAGCTGCAGGATACGCATTTGACCGAGAATTATAAATGCAAAAAAAATATCTTAAATTTTTTTTAAACTACCAAGACGACTACTCCCCTCCTGTGAAAGTTAGACCTCGAGAATCTACACAGCCGACAACTGATTGCCTCTTCCCTCCCCAAGTTACTTATTAAATGAATTGATTCATTGAGTTACAAGAGTAAACGAACCTTAACGCTTCACTGTAAAACGGCCATAAACGTTGAGCATCCATCAGCCGTCTTTCAGAGATTTCCTTACTACTTTAAACCCAAGGAGTGACAAGAATCTTACATCTCACAAAAGTATCAGCCCTACATCAAACACTAAGGTTACGAGAATAGAGGAAATTATCACAAACTCAAGAAGCACGTGATTGCTCCTAATTCTCCTAGTAAGTACCATAGGGAATTCATAGAGAACGGAATGGAGAATTTGAAAACTGATGTAACGGTGTAAAAGGTCATTGAGCAGTAGGCGGTTTTTGCATCCGTTTAGGTTAAAGGTACATTTTTCCATGCATGGCCACAATTACGTCAAACAGCGACACACAAAAAAAGGGATGATGGCCCAATAAACATGTTCAACTACATCTTAGAATTCCTTTCAAGGCTACTGATCGGTGATAATAATTTTATTTAGTAATTGGTGCATTCCATTTATTACAGTTCTGTGAGGTTTAAAGCTGGTGCAAGTTCAATGGTCGTTAAATCATATCTTAACGCTGCACAAAAATTGCTTGTCTTTGGCCATTTTGTTAGAAAGCAAAAGAGGAAAAAAATTCGGTAACATGTAGAAATTAGCTTTCAAAAAATAATATGTAATTGAACTACTAAGCTCTCTACCGTGAAAAGCTGTCACCGAGATCTAAGCTTCAACGAGTATTTGAGGTTAATGATCCGAGTATTACTGGCGTCAATCGTAATCATCCCATGAAAGCAGCGACCATCACAATAATGATCGACAGTAAGACGCTTGAGTGATAACCGAGTGCTCCACTTGTCGAGGGATCTGAAACAATAACAGAGACATTATCAGAAGACGAGAAATAGAGTATGCCATGACCTGCGTTAACTCCTCGCTGACAAACATAGCGTGTTCCACGTCTTTTTATACTCACCACAGTCCTCGGTTGGAGTAAAGGGTTTGAACGCTTCTGGATTTTTTTGCTTGAGATCGTCAAATTTTGTGGCAGGTTGGCTGACTTGATTCGCTGTAAAGAAATACCAAAAAATAACGATCATTCTCAAAAGGTATTCACTAATAATCTAGTGTCAATCGTACTGCTTATCTAAACCTTCAGCTATAAGACGTCAACAAACTGACGTAAATTTTTCCCACTGGTTGCACGTAAAAACAATCCTTAAATCTTTAATCAACTGATCGTTTAAACTGCCGTTGACCATTAGATCTGTAGTTAAATATCTTAGGTGGTTGTGTGAAAATTTCATAAAAGGTTCTTCAACAAATGCTACGTGGATTTGCATATTTTTAATCCTAGCATTATTCAAACATTCCCCTGCGAAATCGGAGCACCCAGGGATGCATACATCCCCGCCTCTTGGGAGGTGCCTCAAAGTGGTGCAGGGGTGAACTCAGGCTGAAGGTTTGGAGGTAATCCCAACGATTCCTGGGGCTAATGGGTGAACGTGACGCTGTTGAAGTCAACCACAACTGATCTGAAATCACCGCTTTCGAAAATTTCGACAGCGACTGTATATTTTCAAGTCTCAATGTGAAAACGAATAATACCTTTAAATATCTAGTGAAGGAGGTATGCCAGTGCGTCCTGCACAGTAATTACACCTGGCCTTGCTCGAGGTATAGATTTACGTTATACGCGATGTTTTTCAACAACAAGCGCTTACTTCGAGGTTGTTAAAGCTTTTTCATATCAGGAAAAGAAGAATTATGATGCTTCAATGCCAAAGCTACTTGCCAAAGCTGTTGATAAGTTTAAAAATTTTTCTAAAGCTAAACACAAAGCCGAAAGTTCAGTCAGCAAATAAACGAATCCGATATATGAAGTTAGTCGGCAGCCGTGGAAACTTTTTGTCTCTGACACAAGATCAAATCCTTCGAGCCTATAAAGGCACATTATTGCCGAAACACATCTTGGGTTCCGCAACACAAAGCAACAAATAGCATTATGCTTTCAAATAAGAATACCCCTCTATAATTTAGACAATAACTGAGAAAAATGTTAAATACTTGTGAAAAACACTTCGTGGCTAATATGACGTGGGGTTTTGTCTTGGCCTAACGACTCAAAACAAAAACCTTTCCGAAATTATCAAGTAAACTCGTCTAGCAGTGCGCTCATTGTCCCGTTCACGAATCTAGTAATTGGTTAACTCAAGTTTATCTGATCAGTAGGACTGTTGTGTGTCTAACTAAAACTGGGTTCCAATTAGGTCTCAATGGGGTGATGGCTTTTACTGCTAACGGTTAAAATTGTGATCATTTTACGGGTTTGGTTAACCTAGAGTGAAACGAAACCTTTTACGGTTAGCTTCTTTTACGTCTAACAGCTAAAATTTGTCAATTTTTACGCCTACCGGCTAAATTGTTAACGGTTAACCTCATTAAGACCCTTCCCTAAGGATTGAGCCAACGCGTTCCATTATAGGTCACAAGAGTGTGGTTCAGGTACCATTGCCGATTATTGCAAACTTGACTTTCATGCACCCGGAACGATTGGCTTTCTCTGTGCGAATCATGAAAAGGCGCCACTTTGGTATTCCCAAAGCTTTAGAGATGGTATCAGCAAAATGGAAGCTGTCATTTAAAGCAAAAAAATAAAAGAAAAAATTAATAACGAAAAAAGGAAACTGCCAACTATGGCTCGAGTCCTTATAATAGCATCAAAGCTCAGACCGACAGTTACTATTATGATACTGTAAATACTGTATACATAATACTTGTTCGTTTCACAAAGTTTATTTAAGTAGCGTTTTGACTACCAAAGCGGAACAGTGAGTGAGCATCGCGAACCTAAGAAACCTTATTAGTAACGAGGAGAAGTGCGAGCGAATCGTTGACATTGTCGTTGGTTTACAAGTTTCCTTGTACTGCGCGTGCACTTCTTTGCTGTTAAAAAAAAAACAGAAACAAATATCAAGATGAGAACAAATAAATTCAACTGATAGTGACTCTCCTTGTTCCTCAAACCGACAATGGAAAACGTTAAAGATTCCTTTCCCAGGTACATGTTTCTGGAAAAAAGAAAAAGGGTTGTCACATAGCTATTGCTACGTACAACAGGTCAGTTATTAGTTCCTCTGTAATAACCAACACATTCTTCGACCAAATATTTGAAGCCGTTTTTTGTCTTCCCCTCTTTAGAGAAAACAATAGAAAAATCCGGTATAAGTGAAACGTTTGTGTTACACTTGACTACCAGGTTCTGACAAAGCCAAGAAAACAAAAGAAACATAATAGCCTAGGGTTATTCAGAGTATCAAAACATGTTAGTCGTTTTATCTTCTCATGATGGACTTTTGATATAATACAAACTTCAGAAAGGTACAACTTTCTTTTTTTAAGACAACATGAATTCCTGGGTCCCTCATGTGGTGTTTCTTAGGCGCTTAGGGATTCAGATTTCCTTTGATTCCGTACTAGTGGTACTAAATTAGTAAACATTAACGTAAAGTGAATATATTTGGAAACCTCTCATTTCATTAGACTGCCCGGTGGGAAGTTATGGTCGTATACTTCTGAATATAGCAAGTGTCTGCTCTACAAATCAAACCAAATTTGCTAAGAGTATTACAGTTTTTATTGAATAATAGGATTCCTAACTATTTTATTCGCACGTGTATCTACCTAGAGCGTTGTTTCGTTTGAGCTTCAATTGTTACAAATTTAACTCAGAAACAGAATCATTGCCCAACTATGATATTACTTAAGCAGTGGAGGACTTATTCTTTATGGATGCAGCCCCATATAAACACAAGGGCGGTGAGGAGAATTCGAGATAGTTTCACCGTAGAAACGCGGAAACTCGAAACACTTTTACTGTATCAAGTGAGTCTCAAAATAACGTGCAAATTTACCCTTTCCCTTATTCAAACATACTTAACATAACTCTAAGATCATACCAATTATCTCACTTATGTTATTTATCTATGTCAATATTCTAACGAGGCTCTAAGTTTGTTTTCTCAGCTGCCTGTTCTCAGTGTGGTGAGTTAAGCATCGCACACTTTCCAGATACTTTACCCTATAGCTGAAACACATAACCTTTACGCCCTAACATCAGTATCCATGTTCTCTGTACTCTTCTCTGGACATTTCTTCTAGTATTGACGAGGAGAATTCGTTTAACAATCAAAGCTCCTCAGATTAATTAACAATATTTTCCCTATATTCTCATCATCTGAATGATAAAGCAGTATTACTGTAAAAAGAAATTAGATGCTAGTCACTCTTAGGGTTTAAAGGGTTAATGGAGAATTAAAAACTGCAAAATGGGGCACAATTTTAAAATGGATTTTAGAATTGAGCCATAAAGGGAAAATCAACACATGTCAATATCTAGCAAACCGAGACCTGGTACAAAGGAACAAAACTTCAAAGATGGAGGGGAAGGGGGTCGAAAGTAGTTAACAGCCGAGAGTGAATTGAGAGGAATTAGGAAGCTGGGGGCTACCCTAGCTTCGCTTTCCTTGAGTTCAAACGCCATATTGTCGCGTGAATATTTGAATCTAATATAGAACAACTGAGATGTAAAGGACCTCGCTGACACATCTTAATGACTGGGCTTGTATTTTTAAAGATGGATTATGGGGAAGACTTTGTTTCTTCCTCCTAATGGATGCTAAGACAATTTATAAAAGTCGAAAAAGAAAAATTATAAAATGCAGTTTCCATCATGGTGGAAAAAATACTTTTCATGCAAGTAAGGCTTGATTTAGTAGTAACTCTCCCAATTCTTCTTTCTCTTTGCTTGGCTCAACTGGAAGCTGCTCTTTGCCTGTCAGCTCTGGGAGGTTGTTGTTGACAGAATCCATAGTTTCTAGAGTCGCCGTGCCCTTTGTTTCTGGCAGCAAGAAGCACAGACCCGCGCAGACAAAAGCAAGCACTGCCACGATGGAGTATGGCAAGAGAATGTGAATACGCATCTATTGAGAGAATAAAAACGAAGTTGGCGGATTTTACGTTTAAGCTCGATGCGAGAAGTTTTCCTTGACACAGGAATTGGTACATATCTCTGCTTAACGATGAGCGCAAGCTAGCGAAAATCGCAGCGATCACTACCACATAGGAGTGCGGCAAGGTGATCTGGACATACCGCTGTTTTCCGTAATCAAAGTGAATTTGTCACTGAGTTTTACCAAGGGAGAACTTGTCGAGGGGACCGTGTGTTAGGATTTTTTGCATACTGGAAAAATCTCACAAAAATGTGTAAAGGTCCTTTATTTCCTATCGAAGATATTTTTGCCATTAACAATAAAATTGATTTGAATCAAGTTACATACCAGCCAAACAACATAAGGCGCCGACATGGATCCAATACGAGCTGCTGCAGACGAGGTTCCCATTCCAACATTCCTAAGGCATAAGGAGAATTGGACGAGAAGTTAAGTAATGCGTACCATACCCAAGCCACTTTTCTTTAGACGGTCTTTTAAGAGAATTGTAAGAGGCACAAAATTATTCCTTCCCGAAGAAGTTGGGCTAATCATCCAACCAGTCAGTCAGTAGGCCAGTAAATAAGTCAGGAAATAGGTCATTTTAGTGAGTCAGGGCGATTTAAGTAATCAGACATGACCGGTCAGTCATAATAAATTTCTGTCATTCATTCACCTGTCACTCCGTCAGTCCAAGTCCGTCAGTCCGTCAGTCGTCAATCCGTCCATCGGTCTGTCAGTCCACCGGTTGCGTTCGTTGGTTCATCAGTCCGTCGGTTCGTCAATCGTCATTCAGTCAGTCAGTCATTTAGCCAATAAAATTTGTCTATTTTTCAGCAAGTAAGTCGCTGAAATAGTCAATCATCATGAAAGTCGTGCAGTGAATCAGTCAGTGAGATAGTCAGTCAGTCAATCAGTCAATCAGTCAGTAAGATAGTCAGTCAGTAAGATAGTCAGTCAGTAAGATAGTCAGTCAGTAAGATAGTCAGTCAGTAAGATAGTCAGTCAGTAAGATAGTCAGTCAGTAAGATAGTCAGTCAGTAAGATAGTCAGTCAGTAAGACAGTCTTTCAGGCAGACAGTCATTTAGTAAGAGAGCGAGTAATTGAGTAAGACCGTACTTGAGTCAGTCGGTTAGTCGGTCAGTAAGACGGTGAGTCAGTCAGTAACACAGTCAGTCAGTCAGTTGGTCATTGATGACCAATAGGTCAGTCAGTAATTCAGCCAGTCTGTAAGCAAGCTGGTCAGCGAGTCAGTCAGACAGACAGTCCATCAGTCGCTTATAGATTCACTTCTTGTCAATCATGAAAAAAGACACAAAAAAGATGAAAGAGTTGAGTTGGTGGGCAGGAAGGTGGAAGATCCATATTCAAATTGCTGAGAATGAAGCAGTGCGTGTGGTTACGTTTATTTCTTGCCTTAGGAAAATGGCATAATGCAGGAAAGTTTGAAATAAAAAAAATACCTGACAACGGTCGGGGAAGAGCTCGCTTGAGTAGACATAGATTGAACTGAACGACATGTTGATAAAAAACTTCGCCACTCCTTGTGCCATAATTATGTTTGCCACCATGAAACCTGAAAAACAGAGCAATGATATTAAAAAAAGTATTTTGCAGCCGACATCCTAAATAATTCAAGATGGTACTTGCTTTAACTTGGTAATGTAATGATCATTAGTTCTCCTATTTCAGATTAGTTTGTTTAAAGCTAACCATTATCATGTCGATACATTAACCAGTGATTCTTTGTCTAAGCACTGATGGCTGAATCTAGTTGCAATCAATTTTTCGTTTCCCTTAACGTAATTGTAACTTTTGTGACCCCAAAAACAGAACCGGCGCCACAATAACTGACAATGACGTAAAGAGAGGTTTACCGGTGTTCTTCAGATCTCTCTGGAACAAGACTGCAATCAAAGAAGCAAAGAAAGACACCACCACTCCAATAACTGTGCTTTTCTTCCGGCCAATCCTGTAACAAATGTTCGTTTAGAGGAATCATACTCACGGCTTGAATTGCCCAAAACTCCGAACGAAAAAACGTAAAGAGAAAAATGACTCCTCACAAGTTTTAGTTATTCCTTGTTTACGTTTTGTTGATTCAAAGAAAAAATAAAGGTCGACCGTACTGCTAGGTTCGGAACGAGTCGCAACCCGAATCGAACCTTCCTCGGAGCATGGGACTTTTCCCTCTCCAGCTATTGTCGCCACTTTGCAAAAACTGAAAAAAAAAGTTTATTCTATCGTCAGGCATGGGTTGACTTTGGTTGAGAACCAAATGATAAAAAATTATTGGATGACTTTGAGTACGATATCATGAATTATCACTGTGGAGATTTGAGTTATCTGTCAAAGCCGAATGCTATAGCAGATAACTCAGACACGTGGTTTGATAATTCATGATATCATGTAAAAAACAAAATTCGATAAATGTTGTATTATACACTTCTTTGAGCAATTTGCACACGGATAGACTTTTCTCTGAGTTTGCAAAAGTTTGAGAACACTACACGGACGAGAGGGTTGGAAA